AAGTGTTTGTATAAAACGATGTTATGGTTTAATTTGATGCCAAAATGAAGCCAACCTTGGTGCCAGTCAGGCCACAAGGGGGAATGTATGTCTCTAATGGCTCGAGGTGAGGTACAATGTGGTTAAAACAGCAAAATAAAACAGAACACTATTAAAATACATATAACAAAATACACAAAGGTAAAATACAGATGAAAATTTACCAATAAAATGCAGGGCAAAATTTACAAGTTGAAATTGACTAGATAGACCTGCTGGAAGAGATGGGTCTTCAGCTGCGTCTAGTCCAATGTCCTGCCATGAAAGAATACACTCTTGAAATATGTTGTTCCAAACACTGTTTAAAGCCCTCAGAGGAAGGAGAGTGCACCATCCTCTGAGTTATTCTATTCCGCTGTCAAACAGTTCTTCCATTAAAAAATTCTCTTCCCTATGCTTAGGTGGAATCTTTTTTATAATGGTTCCGGTCCAACTTATCTGTCTGAACATATCTCCTTGTACGAGCCTGCTAGAACTTTAAGATTGTCTGGGGAGGCTCTGCTCTCAGTCCCACCCTCTTCACAAGCGTGATTGGTAGAGACAAGAGACAGAGCCTTCTCAGTGGTAGCCCTTTGGCCGTGGAACTTCCTCCCAGGTGACATCAGGCAGACCTCACCCCTTCTAGTTTTTAGAAAAAAAGTTAAAGACATGACTTTGCACACAAGTGTTCAAAGAATAAGTGACTACAGGCTTCAAGATGGTTTGAATATGGATTATGATCAAGGATCTTGGACGAATGGAACTATGCACTTTATAAGTTTTAATCTGTTTACTGTTTAAATGTGTTTATTGACTAATTATTAACCATTTTAATGGAGGGGGTATGTTATTGTTTTTACTGTTGATTTTACTGGTATTAAATTGTACTGGAGTTATAAGCCACCTTGAATCCCCTGAGGGGGAGAAAGGTGGGTATAAATGAAGTAAATAAATAAAATAAATAATAAATAATTTGAATCAACTGGATGATATTCTAGTCTCTGGAGCAGCACCAAGTGAACTTGCTCTGTTTTCTACATGGCATCCTTTCAGATATTTAAAGATAGCTATTATATCATCCTCAGTCTTTTTTTCTCCAAGATATATATATCCTTCAGTTGTTCTTCAGAAGTCTTGGTTTACCATATCATCTTAGCTGCCCTTCTCTGAACACATTCCAGCTTATCAATATCCTTCTGGAATTGCAGTGCCCAGAAGTGGATACATTATTCCAGGTGAGATATGACTAAAGCAGAATAAATTGGTACTACTACTTTCCTTTTTCTGGACACTATGTTCTTGTTGATGTAGCCCAGGGCTGTATTGGGCTTTTAACCATTGCATCACATGGTTGACTCATGTTTGTGGTCTAGGATTCCTAGATCTTTTTCACATGCACTGATTTGGATAATTTTGAATTCTGTTTCCATCCTAAGGGGTATTTGCTACCCGCCCCATAATTTGGTGTCCTCTGCAAAATGTAGAAGTATGTATTCTAGTCCATCAAATACGTCATTTATAAAGATGTTGAGCAAGACCAGACCCAGGACCAGACCCTGAGGCATCACATTAGTCACTTCATTCCAGGATGAAGAATGCTCTAAGTTTGGTTAGTCAACAAATTACAAATTCACCGAACAGTAGTGCTGTTAAGAGACTGGAGGCAGGGGATAATTCTGCCTGGATGGAATGTCATGCCCCATCTCACAAGGCTCATTTTATGAAAGGGGAATTAATGCAGTTTGTCACCACTTTAACTGCCATGAAACAGTGGGAGTTGTAGTTTTAACACAACATTACAAGTGCTTGAACCAAATGTAAATTAGTCAATTACAAGCATCTCTCTGTATAGGATTGTGGTCTTTCAGTAAGAAATAGTAAAGTAGATTCAGTGCCTCCGTACCAGTAATCAAGACAAACATAGCAAAGTCTTCCATGCGACAGTTGACTCCCTGTTAACTGAAACTCAAGAAACCAGAACTCTTAGGGCCCTACCAGACAAGCTCTATATCTCAGGATCTGATCCTAGGTTTTGGGTTTACCCCAGATTATCTGGAAGTGTGGACTCAAATAATCCAGTTTAAAGCAGAAAACCTGGGATCAGATCCTGGGGTATAGAGCCTGTCTAGAAGGGCCCTTAAGCAACCGGCAAATGTTAATTGCCTATCATTTAACTAAAAGCTGTTTTTCATAATACAGTAAAACTGTGTTATATTGAGTTAAGTTTGTCTTTGTCTTCATTTGCTTTTAATTACTGTATTTCAATATCACTATGACATGAACACAGAGTTTCTGGTATAGTATAGAATGGGATATAGTATTAGGTATATTTTAACAGTAACTCTCAAGCAACCTGAAACTACATTTATCTGACATCTTAACTACTGTAAAGTGTATGTATTAGTTCTGGGAGCTGCTCACTGAATACTGCAGAGAAGGAATGGGTTTGTTTAATTCTATTTTAATGTTTGTATATATTTCTATATTAAATTGTATTGTAATGCTTTTAATATAATCCACTTTGAGTTTCCTTAGTAGAGAAAAAGTGGGGTATAAACAGAGGCGGCCCTAGGTAATTTTCAACGGTAAGCAAACAGTATTTTGGTGCCCCCCCCCCAACCAATCACTGAATTTTCTGTTCGTTGTGGGAGTTCTGTGTGCCATATTTGGTTCAATTCCATCATTGGTGGAGTTCAGAATGCTCTTTGATTGTAGGTGAACTATACATCCCAGTAATTACAACTCACATATGTCAAGGTCTATTTTCCCCCAAGAGCGCCTCAAGAGTACCTCTGGGCAAAATCAACTATACTGCAAATGCTTACTTTGCATAATAGGTTGAGCCGCTCCTGGGTATAAATCACCATAATAATAATAATAATAATAATAATAATAATAATAATAAGAAGAAGAAGAAGAAGAAGAAGAAGAAGAAGAAGAAGAAGGAAAGGATAGAGAATTCTGTAGTTAGACAGCAGCAAGAGCAGGGTTAGCAATATGAAAGGCAAAGGAGGACATTGCCTCCCAAACCTCATCACGCTAGAGAATGAATCCACTTTAAATCCAGTTGCTGCCTCTGGCAGAGTTCTGAGATTTGTAGTTTAGGCAGGAGCCTTTAACAGCCTCACTAAACTACAAACCCCAGAATTCTGCAGGAGGCAGAAACCAGATTTAAAGTGGATTCATTCCTTAGTGTGATGAAGTAGAAGAATTATTCTCCCATCTGAAATTTTCCTTCCGTCTTCAAATTTGTAGTGTTGCCATGATTCAGCTGAGCATTTAAAATTCAGTTTAGGCATCCAAAGAGAAGCGGAAGGCAACGTTACCATGGGAATACAAACACGGCAAACAGAAGAGTTGTAAACATTGTTCTATGTCTTGCTCTCTCCTATGCTAGAAATTTAAGAGAAAATGTCATAGGGGAGGCAGAATTATTATTTGGGATAGCAATGGCCTCATGTTGCCCCTTACAGCATTGTCACCCTGAAAAGGGTAGGATCTGTTCAGAAAAATAAGCACAATTAACTGGCATCAGATGGAAAAGCCGATGAGGATAAGGCTTTCTAGGAATGCCTGTTAGGTATTTATGTACATACATTGGGACACCTCTGTGGACCCCTATCAGCAACCAACTCCAGTGTATGGATCATGTGCCTGCAGTTCAATCCGAGTATAGCCTGTGAATTCCCGTATAAAGCATTGGTTTATTCTTTTATTATTTTCCATTTTACTGTTGATTTTTAAGACTGTTTATTGTTATGATGGTTTAATGTTGACTTTTACGATACTAATTTATTGTTAGCTTTACATTTTTGTTTTTATTGCAAGACACTTTGGACATGGTTGAGAGGCACATTATGAATGATGGATGGTGTGCAAACTCAACAAATCTAAAGCATTTGTTCCTATTTTGCCACCCTGCCTCTTAACCACAGGAACGTGAACTTTGTAATTCTGTGGAGGACAGGTCTGTAACAAAAGTAATTTTAACATCTCCATGGTCCCCAGGGCTCTTTCAGAAAATTCATCTCAGTGAAACCAGCTTATCTGCACCGTATCAGGTTTCTCTAACATTAGGCAAGGGAGGCAGCTTGGCAACAGCCTTGGGGTATTTTTAAAAGGTAGCACATTGTAAGGCTATTTATTTTCTTAGTATTGAATTCTCATTGTTGGGGATACAGAGAGATCCAGGACTTTTGGGTATCCTGTGTCAAAGTAACTTGCCTGTGTTTGGGTATTATGTACCTTGATCGAGATGGCTAAGAGTAATAGTGTTTGGTGGAAACCATTTTAGTGCATCCGTAAATCCAATTCTGGGTTTTAATTTAAATATTAAGGGGCTATAAAATGTACCAAACTAATTTTTGACAATAGTGTTCTGGCTTATTAAAAGTTCAGTCGAATAGGCCATTTAAATTTCAGCCTGAATCCCAGAAAATGCTGTGACACCAGCAAGAAGTGTCATTTGCAGCTTGACCAGCTCAGTCAGATAAATGTCTTCATTGCCTTATGGGCATTTAATTGAGTAGGCATTTCAATATAGAAAGAAGTGTATGCAAGCCAGATCCAACAAAAGTTCTGTGTTTCAGGTATGATTGGCCAAAGCACAGGAAATAGGTGCACTTGGCTGCTCTTGAACCTTGGAACTTCCTCCAAATATGGCAAGGAGTATCTCTTGAAAGGGAGAGGCAGGAAAGTAGTTACACAAACCCACAAGAACCTAGTAGTTACTTCATTTACCCATTTTGTACCCATGGGTTAATATCCAAGCCATGGATTTCAATATGTTTGCAGTTGCTTTGTAATATAGCAATAGATATCACCTGTCAATCATGGAGACAGAATTAATAGCACATACCTTAACTTGGATTATTATGATTAAAGTTGTCTTAAGTCTAGATTATGCTGACATCAATAACACAGGCTTAGCTGGGACATTTTATAAAGACAGGAGCGCTTGCTTGGAATATCCCCACGAATATCTTCTGCAATTGAGGGGGGTTACTATAGAGAAGTAGAGAAATACTTGCTTGCTGGTAAGAAGTACCTAAACAGTTGTCACTATGAATGGAACAGAAGGCCAAAATTTCTATGTTCCCATGTCCAACAAGACTGGTGTGGTTCGGAGTCCCTTTGAGTATCCTCAGTACTATTTGGCAGATCCTTGGCAGTTCTCTGCACTGGCAGCTTACATGTTTCTTCTGATTCTCCTGGGATTTCCTATCAACTTCCTCACTCTCTTTGTCACCATCCAGCACAAGAAACTCAGGACACCCTTGAATTACATTCTTCTAAATCTTGCCGTAGCCAATCTCTTCATGGTCTTAATGGGCTTCACCACCACCATGTACACATCTATGAATGGATATTTCATTTTTGGGACAGTAGGATGCAACGTTGAAGGCTTCTTTGCCACTCTGGGAGGTAGGTATCATTCTGCTAAACATTAACCATAGGGGAAAAATACAAATGTAAGATCTGTATCCTAGGGTCCTCAAGGTGTTACTTGAAGCTCCATTTTTTTAATATCTGGAGATTCTAGTACTGTTTTACTGTCTAGCTCACCTGAACTAAGTTAGTAGCTTGGGCAGCACATTAATAGAACTGAATGGCACTTTACTACTGTTCCCTACCCAGAGGCCCAGTGCTCTGTTTCATATTGCCCTCCATCCCTAATTTTGTCATTCGGCTTTGCACTTTATCCATCAGCCCTGTCCTCACAACTGATTTGCACCAGTCCGCCCACCCAAGCCCAGAAACTGTTATTACTCAGGTCATTGGTTGTTTGCTTGATAGTTGTCTTATACTGTGTTATGTTGTTGTTTGTTTCATATTGTTTTATGAGGTTGTTTTATGTATTTTATTGTGTTATATTTTAATTATGTTGATCGTGTTTGTCCCCATGTAAGCCCCCGAGTCCCTTCGGGGAGACTAAGGCAGGATACAAAATAAAGTTCTTTTTCTTCTTCTTTATGGGAACAAATACTAAAATCTGATTATTGCAATTAGAGTAAACAAACGGGATCAATATGGACTCAGTATGTATATACGTAGGTAAGTTTCACTGATGTAATGAGTTTCCAGTAGTATCAACTACCAATTGAATTTAGGGGTATGCTGTCAAATGGTTAAAATCAGGTTCATGCACAGTACAAAAATGTTCTTAATATATGGATTTTTTTGCACCACAATTCTTTCTACAGAGCTGTGATTATTCTCTGGTTCAGATGGAAGACTTTTGTAGAGCCTCGGGAGATATGACCTGCAAGTTCTCACACCTTACTTGAAAAGGCAGGGATTTAATGAAGCTATTTTTTTCTTCCACATGTCAGGCAGGAATGAAATTAAATTGTCATTAACAAAAAGCAGATGAAAACTCTTTCTGTGCTCAAGTCATTTTCAATCTTCATCTTTCAATCATTTTGATTATATGATGTTATCTTCTTTTTTTAAGAAAAAAACAAAACACCCTGGTTTATTCACTTGACATACAATCCTCAGGGCAGAGAAGACCTAAATCTGAGACCAAACAAACCTGCAAAAAGCAAACAAATGCCATCAAGTTGGCTCAGTTTCTTTAGAGGGCTTCTTATCCATGACCAAGAAGGGCAAGAATCCAAGTATTATTCCTTTTACACTTGCTTCCATGCAACCCCCATTTGGTTCACTGTGGCTTGTAAGGAAACAAACTTCTAGGAACCATCTGTTCCCAAAGTTAGTGTTTGGCTAAAGGCAGAGTGCCGAGAACATAAATCTTTCATCAAGACTCAAGAATGACATGACTCAAATACTTACCTGTCAAGTGTCCCTCCTTGAGAGGGGCACCCTGTTCTTTAAAGACTGTAAAATGTGAGTAACAACCATAGGATAATGGAGTATCTGTTACGAAAGGATCAAAACCAATGTAGTATGTGCTTAAAGCTAAAGCTCAATGTAATGGCAATAGAGCAGTATGAGTAGTAAATGTGTTGGGTTTTTTAAATGTAGCTTAACTTATGTTTTGATCCATTTGGCAGGACTCTTAATTATAGTAGTTACCGTAAATGGTAACAGCCCTGGGAGATGGTTTGGACACCTTTGCTGAAAACCAAGGCTTTGAAATAAAAGAAAGGAGTGAAGAATCAAGAGATAAAATCCATAATTCAGATCTGCCCCAATCACATCGCAAATGAAACAAAATTGGAGTTTATGGAAAATATGTGTGTTGTTTTTTATTCATTCAGTTGCTTCTGACTCTTTGTGACCTCATAGACCAGTCCTGTGTATAAGACAGGAATGATCAACTTTGGTCCCTAATTCACAGTCCTGTATATTGTCCACAATACCACATTTTGCTCTTCCTTACTCCTAGGCATGTATCTGACCAAGGCCCCTTCCACACAGCTGAATGAAATCCCACATTATCTGCTTTGAATTGGAATATATGGCAGTGTGGACTCAGATAACCCAGTTCAAAGAAGATATTGTGGGATTTTCTGCCTTGATATTCTGGGTTATATGACTGTGTGGAAAGGCCCCAAGAGAGAAAAAATGGGACTAGCAAACAACTATGCTGGTTTTTTCCATGAATACTGAAAACCAATACAGAAATGTTACAAGAGATTAGATGAATTCATGACAGACAAAACAAGAGTCCAACGCCATCATCCCTTTGGTCTTAAACAGGATCCCATTTAACCCCATCCACCTTGCTTTCTGTACAGCCAAAGTTGATCTTAATTCAGTTTCTAAGATCACATGTAGTTTAAACATCTAATGTAAGGAAGTCAGGGAGGAGTCTGACCAGATATAGGAATGCATAGACAAGAGACTAGTAGACATTAGAAGCACATAGTAATGCATAATAACATGATTGAGTACTTGGGCCTTGAAAACCAGTTAGAAATGTAATTCTGACTGGCAGGACTTCTTTGGAGGCATGGGCAAGGGACTTTTAGCACCAATTGCCTTTTAAACAGAGATGCCAGGGGTTAACTCTGGGACCTTCTCCATGAAAAGCATGTGTTGAACTACATCTAAGCTGATCTCCCCTCCCCAAATGTTATTATTTTTAATGTAATTTGCTCTTGTCATTATTAAAAACAAAAACTGGCAGAAAGAAAGAAGTATCTTTAAAAGAAGTAGCTCTTCTGTTTCTCTCTCTGTTTCTATTCCCTGTTTCAAGAATCCCATAATGGGAAAATAGCAGGATATAAGTAAACTAAATTGATCCCCCCCCCCCTTTCCTTTCTTCTAGGCGAGATGGCTTTATGGTCTCTGGTAGTGTTGGCTGTGGAAAGATATGTGGTGGTCTGCAAGCCCATGAGCAACTTCCGTTTTGGTGAGACTCATGCCCTCATTGGGGTGAGTTGCACTTGGATCATGGCCTTGGCCTGTGCTGGTCCGCCTCTCCTTGGATGGTCGAGGTAGGTATGCGTGGAATCTCTGGTGTGGATAATTCAAAATGAAAAGAAAAGGGAAATGCTATCAAAAAGAATGCTTAGCAATCTCTAACATTCAAGGGCAATTATAGTGTCAGTGCACCAGACTGACATAGCAAACCCTAGAGACTCTTCTGGGCTGAGAGAATGATTTGTAGGGCTGCTGGAGTAAAAAGTGGAGGGGGGTCTTGTTCCTTAATGGTTGTGTATAAAAGGAACACCAGCAGGTGTCTCTAATCATGGAACCAGGCACTTGATGTAACCCCCTCCTCTACACTCCTGATAAAAGTTCAGGTGCTCTCTCCACTTTTTATTCCAACAATCCCACCTTCTTGGCAAAGGTATAACCTCTGTTTTCCCTCAACAAAGGTTCATGTAATGCAGTGCCATGTATGTCCTGCATAAGGATGAACCTCTGCAGTTTTGAGCAAAACTGGGAGAAAAATTTGAAAAGAGCAATGTAGGATTTTGGTTACATCTTGGGGCATGATGTGGGGTACCTGTTTTTGCAGAATCTGCTTGTTTTATTTCAGCTGATGTTTTCCTTAAGTAAAAGTAAAGATGTCCGTTTCGGGGGGGGGGTGCTCATCTCCATTTCTAAGCCAAAGAGCTAGCATTGCCTGTAGACACCTCCAAGGTCATGTGGCCAGCATGACTGCATGGAGTGCCGTTACTTTCCTGCAGAGGTGGTACCTAGTGATCTACTCACATTTGTATGTTTTTGAACTGCTAAACAGGAGCTGGGATAACAGCAGGAGCTAACCCCGCTCCCTGGATTCGAACCACTGACCTTTTGGTCAGCAAGTTCAGCAGCTCAGCGGTTTAACTCATTGCATTATCAGGGGGCCTGATGTTATCCTTATTTATTTCTAAATATACCATCAATTATATAACCATTGTAAATCTTCAAGGATCACAACCTCCAAAGAAACTAAACTTCTCATTCTGGGAAATAGGGTGTGTATTAACAATATCACTGCCTAAATCCAACTGTTAGTCCCAACTTGGTCAAATCTTTAGACCCACTGTATCCATGGGAATTTTGTAACACTAATGTAAGTTCAGTTGATTCCGTGGGTTTACTATAGTTGGTTTCAATGCTGCCACCGTAGTGTGACTGTGCTGGCTACAATCCACCCACGGACACTTTTGATTTAATTCTAGGTACATCCCAGAAGGCATGCAATGCTCATGTGGAGTTGATTATTATACACCAACCCCTGAAGTCCACAATGAGTCATTTGTCATCTACATGTTTTTGGTCCATTTTGTCACACCATTGACCATTATATTCTTTTGCTATGGACGCCTCGTCTGCACAGTGAAAGCAGTAAGTAATCTTGCAGAAAAGAGATTGCTAGACACATACCAGTTCAGAATGAAAATAGGTAATCATTTTGCAATTTCCAGTCCTGTGAGAAGAGACTAAGCTCCAGAGATGTTAAGTAAATGCAAGTGTTAACTTTATAGCTTGGATCCACTTGTGAGACACTTGGAAGCTAGCTCTTAGAGCAACTTCCTAGTCTCTCTGTGTTGTGTGCACGTATGTTTCAGTGGACATTGCCCCATCACTGAGGGGGTTACACTGATGCCTCTCCTGTCATAGATTCATGAATACAGCAGTAAAGAATATAGGTTTCTAGAGTATGTTCCTGCACTATAAAGCCCTGGTAGTCCAGTGAGTCACTTCAGTGAATGGGGGAAAAATAGGAAGAAAATTCCTTTATTTTGTGACTGTGCGGGATTTCAATGGTATGTTTCTTTTGACAATGCTTATGGCAAATGGAGCGCCACAAAATGGTTGGAAGAGTTATATATCCGTTTCCCAAGTTGTCCTGTTGCAGCATGTTTACCGCACACTGTTGTCATGCTTCTAGGCTGCGGCTCAGCAACAAGAGTCTGCCACCACCCAGAAAGCTGAGAGAGAAGTCACCCGCATGGTCATCATCATGGTCATTTCCTTCCTGGTTTGCTGGGTCCCTTATGCCAGCGTGGCGTTCTACATCTTCACCCACCAAGGATCTGACTTTGGCCCTGTCTTTATGACCATCCCAGCTTTCTTTGCCAAGAGCTCAGCCATCTACAATCCTGTGATTTACATTTTAATGAACAAACAGGTAACTTGGCAATGTGGCCTGGGCTTTTTTCAAACAATATAAGAACACTCAAGAGTTTATGGCACTTTCCCTAAGTGCTTAAAGTGCTTCCTATATACACTTCCTTAATAATTCTTGTAACAAACCCTGTAGGTTAATCCTCTTTATTACAGATGCGTATAAGTGTGTCTGGGGAGGGGGAAGTTGAGAGACAGAGACCTCCCTAAGCGAATGCATTGCTGAACAGAGACTTGAGCCAGGCTCTCTCAGTTCATACACTAAAATTATCTTTACAGCATTTTGCTCCTTCCCAATTGTGCTCGGAATATAATGCACTTCTTGATGGGAGGTGGTAGTAGTTAATCTGAAAAATCCCTAATCACCTGTTTCAAGTCAAATGCTGTGGCAAGGGACCAAGAGAAGATGTTCTTGCAGTCTCTCTGGAGGAGGATGCCTGCTCTCGGCTGGTTGCTAGAAAGCCTTCTCCCCACTTTCTTTTTATCAGCACAGCAAGCTGCTAATGACTCTCGCCATTGGTGAACCATTCAGGGCAAGAGGACTAAGCCTAAGCACTTTTCTCTCTGTGAATTATAGCATTATCAATTATTTCTCTGAGCGCTGGGCTGTGCCAAGGAATAAGCAAACAATCTTAGAGGCTTTTCACTTGCTTTGAAAAACAGGGACCGCCTTTCCTTTCTCAATGGAGTGGGAGTTGCAAAAAAGAACTCAAGTGTATTTATATGTGGAGGGAGGATTTCTGTAGCTCCTCTGTCATTTTTAGTCTGCAATTCACATTTCACTCTGTAATTCACCTGGGCTGGCTAGCCAGTGGTGAAGAATGATGGGAGATATAGTCTAACAACACCTGTGGGGGCTCACATGATACTCTCCTTGACTGTAGTCCATTAGTGACTTTCCAAACCAATCTCATGGACCTTCTTGACTCTGCCACTAATGGATCAACAGGACAAGAAGAACAGTGGAGGAATAATTGAATTGGAAGAACTCCCAAGAGCCATCCAGCCCAACTCCCTGCCATTCAGGAGCACACAATCAAACCACTCTCAACAGACTGCCAGTTTCTTTTTTTGTTGTTGTTGTTATTTTATGTACTCTTGATTAATGGTGACCCTAAGGTAAATGTATTATTGGTTGTTGGGTTTTATGGGGGAAATTTGTTCAGAGGGGATTTGCCACTCCCTTCCCCTGAGCCTGAAAGAGTGTGACTTGACCAAGGTCACCCAGTGGGTTTCCATGGCAGAGTTGGGATTTGAACTCTGATCTCCAGAGTCCTAATTCAACACTCAAAACACCACCACCAACAACAAAACTTTATTTATATACCACTCTATCTCCCCGAGGGGACTCAGAGCGGTTTCCAAGTAACATCATCAATACATATAAAGTAAACAACATAAACATATATATTTAAAATAATCCTGCCTGTTCAAGGCAATTTAAAAGGCCGGGCCAAGGCTAGTGCAATTTGTAGAGGGCCAGGAAATTAGGTGCAATGCTATAGCAGGCAACAACAATAATAGGTAAAGTCTATAGCTGTTCATTTCCGGGGCCTAACTGGAGGAAGTAACCTGGGTAATTAGTATTCAGTATATGGGGCTGAGCTAGAACTAGTTGTTCTCAAAGGCTTGTTTAAACCACCAGGTCTTCAGGCTCTTACAAAAGGAGGGGAGGGATGGGGCTTGTCTTATTTCTCTAGGAAGGGCGTTCCAGAGGTGGGGGCCACCACCGAGAAGGCCCTCTCTCTCGTCCCCACCAACTGTGCTTGTAACGGTGGTGGGAGCAAAAGGAGGGCCTCCCCAGAAGATCTTAAAGTTCACCACACTAGGCATGGGCAATCTTCAGCCCTCCAGCCCTCCAGGTGTTTTGCACCAACTCCCACAATTCCTAACAGCCTCAGGCTTCTTCCTTTTCCCCCTCAGCCACTTAAGGCTGCTCTTGCTCTCCATCTAATATCAATGCTCAAAGAACAGGCTTATTATCAAAAGGTATCTGGTTGTGACAGGTTTCTAACATCCCCAACGTTTGTGGGATACGTAAGATGAAAAAGTTAAGGAAAGGAGCATACTGCTAGAATGGACCAATGCCCATGATGTCTAGCATCCTGTTCCTGATAGAAGTCAGATAGGAGCTTTCTGAAAAACTAAAGACAATAGTCATGTCCGCTGTTTGCCTCCCAGCAATTGCACTGTCAGGCTATAGCCCAGGCATGGCAAACTTTGGCCCTCAAAGTGTTTTGGACTTCAACTCCCACAATTCCTAACAGCCAGTAGGCTGTTAGGGATTGTGGGAGTTGAAGTCAAAAGCACCTGGAGGGCTGAAGTTTCCCCATGTCTGCACTACACCATGCTGAGACTCTCTGCTCAAACTTAGGAGATTAGTGGAAACATTTTTCACATGGTATGTCTTGATGCCCAGAGTTTCTGCGACCCTTTTAATGTGATTTCTACAGTTGTTTCTAATGCTGAAATGTTTACGTATTGCTGCTGTTGATTTTTCATTTACAGTTCCGTAACTGTATGATCATGACCCTCTGCTGTGGAAAGAATCCTTTGGCCGATGAGGACACGTCTGCTGGCACAAAGACAGAGACATCCACAGTCTCTACGAGTCAGGTTTCTCCTGCCTGAATCCACCTGAATCCACCAAGAAAATCTCTTACCTTTGAAATCTTTGCATGGCTGCACTGCCACACACACAATCTGCAGCAGGCCATTTGCAACTCACCTGGCAGAATGAACTTCTTTCTTCTGTGACTGTCTGACAAACAAAGTTATAAGGTTGTCATTTTTATGACTACATTTGATGTGGAATTCAAGCCAGGCCAATGGCTTTGACAAGTCACATGCATTAAAATTGTTAGAATTGAACTTTCAGTCTAAAACTAATGTACAAATCAAATTACTTGTTTAGTGCTTGCATTTCCACAATTCTTTTCATTCTGATCTGCAGCTGTCCTGTCTGTGTTTATAAGCTTGCCTGAGGATGAGTAACTCTACCTAAGGATCCATTCCCACATTTGGCCTTTCCATCTTCATCATAGTTTTTTCCATATACAATGAAAAAAAGTCTCATTTGAGTATAGTGATCAAACTTGGGTTTATTCTTGTTTTTTTTTAAAATTACTTCTTATTATATCAAAATGGATCCCCTGGTGGTGCAGCGGGTTAAACTGCTGAGCTGCTTAACTTGCTGACCAAAGGGTTGGAGGTTCGAATCTGGGGAGCAGGGTGAGCTCCCGCTGTTAGCCCCAACTTCTGTCAACCTAACAGTTCGAAAACATGCAAATGTGAGTAGATCAATAGGCACTGCTCCAGTGGGAGGGCAACAGCACTCCATGCAATCATGTGAACTGCATAATCTTGGAGGTGTCTATGGGCACCACCGGCTCTTCGGCTTAGAAATGGAAATGAGCACCATCCCCCAGAGTTGGACACAACTGGGCTTAATATCAGGGAAAAAACATTTACCTCTACTGTTATATCAATACATTAAAAAAAATAATGAGCAAATCTCACATTTATTCACTTGTTTATTTATTGAACTTATTTCCCACTTTTCTCCCAGAATGGAACTTTTGTGTATTAGGAATTAGTCTGAATTCATACTGATTTCATATTTTCATAGCATTACACAGATGTTTATTTTCAAGTCCGTACTCAATGCAATAAACATGCTGTATCTCTCACCAACATTATTGCTCATAGGTTGTGGTTGCAGATTTTTAAAGGAAGGATTTTAATTTCAGTCGAGGCACGTTTTCTGTTAGCCTTTATCTATCCCTCTATCACCTTATCTATTTTCCCCAAGTTCTTGAAACTTCAGTACCAATCAGTGTTCATAAGGCAGCTTACAGAAAACAAAACAACCATGGATCTTAAGGTAGATTAAACAAATTAACAGAAGGACTTTTTCTATCAGAAAAGGCTGCCAAAAAGATAAGAATAGTAAACATCACAATTCACACAAAGGAATTGCTAAAGCATTGAGGTATTTCTGGGGTCACATGTGGCTACAGTGGGAGGAAAAAATGGGAAATTTCCCACCCACAAACTCCCTCAAATGATAGAATCATAAAGTTGGAAGCAACCCTTACGGTCATCCAGTCCAGCCCTCTGCCATGCAGGAATACACAATGTTCATCCATTCTCTGATCAAAAACATTGAGAGAAAGAGACTATACCACACTTCAAGGCAACAACAACAATGTCAACAACACTTTATATGTAACCCGCCCTCTCTCCCCGGGGGGACGGGAATTCAGGACTCGTAAACTAATTAATTTAGAATCCAGGCTAATGTAATGATATTGGTAACAGGAACAACATTCTACAAAACTGCAGAAGAAAACAGTTCAGTCAAAATGAAATATACAGTAACCTCATAGGGTTAAAAATCTAGATTCAGAAACTCACAGCACAGAAGACAGAAATGAGAAAAACAAACATTCTTCTTTTTCTCTGCAGATGGGAAGCAGCAACAATGGTAGATGCTGAGGAGTACTAGATGTTTTCCCTTTTACCATGTAAAAGCCGCAAGAGTTTTTTTTTTTTTTAAATATATCTTTATTAAGTTTTGCATCTTAAAATATACATAGAGGTGAGAGCAGAAAGGGAGAAGGGCAGGATGGGAGGGGTAGACTGAGGGTGGAGAGGGTAGTGAAGACAGGGATTGGGGATGAAGAGGTAGGGGGGAGAAAGAGAGAGGATAGAGGTAGAGAAAGGTGGTTACTTCCCGTCAGTCTTCCAGAAATCTTCTTCTCTGGTTGTTATTGTGATTCATTGTCAGCATGGTCTTTATATTTCTTTTCTTCATATACAAGACAGGTCGATTTGTAAAGGGAGTCCCCTTAATTTAATATAGTCTTTCAAGCCTGACCAGTTTGTACACTTATTTGTCCCTTTTAGATTCTGGGAGAGTCTGTCCATTTGTATAATATCCAGCATTTTGATGTACCAATCTTCTATGCTCGGAATTTCCCTCGACTTCCATACTTTTGCTAATAAAATTCTTGCGGCCGTACTAAGAAGGAAAATTATTTTCTCCTGGTTTTCGTTTAATTTACAGTTTGTGATTCCTAATAGGTACATTTCTGGTGTTTGGGGAAAGTTAGTTTTTATAATTTTTTGCGTTGCCTTATGCACCTCCAGCCAGAATTTCTTAACTGATTTACAGGACCACCATTGATGGAAGAAAGTGCCCCTTTCTTTACCACATTTCCAACACAAATTTGATCCGTTTTTATTAAATTTTGATAATTTTTCTGGAGTAAAATACCAGCGATAGAACATTTTAAACCAATTCTCTCTTAGATCACTGGCTTCTGTGTACTTTATTTTAGTTGTCCAAATTTTTTCCCATTGAGTTGTTAAAATACTGTGTCCTATATCCTTAGCCCACTTCACCTGGCAGTTTTTAATCTGTTCCTCCTCGGTGGACCACGCGAGTAATTGTTGGTAGATAATTTTTATTAATTTCCTTTTTTTCTTCATAACTATTTCCCATACACCTTGATTTTGGCTGAAACCCTGCTTGTTATCTTCTTTATATTCCTGATAAATTTGGTGATAATTTAGCCATGTTATTTTCTTATTTAATTGTTTTATTTCTTCTAGAGATTTTAATGCTAATTGTCCGTCCTCATTTTCCTTTAGTAGTTGTTGATAAGTTAACCAACTCTTTTCCTCTAGTTCCCTCTTATGTTTGGCTTCTGTTGGGGATATCCACAACGGCGTTCTTTGATATAACCTGGGCCGATATTTTTCCCAGGTTCTGATCAGGGCTGCTCTTATGTAGTGGTCTGTGAAGGATTTCTCCACCTTTTTTTTGTTATACCACAGATATCCGTGCCATCCGGCACGGATATCGTGCCCTTCCAGTGCAAGCAATGGCCTGTTCTCCAGAGTGGCCCATTCCTTTATTGCCACTAGATTACAGGCCTCGTAATAGGCCTTAAAATCTGGTAATCCGAGGCCTCCCCTTTTTTTGTGATCTGTTAAAATTTTCATACTTATTCTAGGTTTTCGGTCTTTCCAAATAAATTTTCTAACGTCTGAGTTCCACTTCTTAAAAAGATAATCATTCCTTAATACTGGCAGATTTTGGAAGAGGAACAGGAGTTGAAGCTCTGGCGTGGGCTGGTCCATGAGGTCACGAAGAGTCGGAGACGACTGAACGAATGAACAACAAATGGTTGCTAAAATGGAGACACAGGATTGGTAGCTCCATGTTCAGGATAATAGACTAGGATTTTCCCCAAGAAATCTTCACTGGGGTCTATCTCAACTCAGTGACTGTTCCCAGGCTGTCAAACTCCCTTCAACTTGACTTCTAAATTGAATGCTTCTGTTTGTACATCCAGATAGAAATAATCAATAAGGGGCTTAATTTCTCACACAATCTCGGGGTTTTATCACATGTGTCCATTGTCTCCAAGCAAATGGAAACATGCCATTTTGGAAACATGGCATGTTTCTTTCCCACCTTCTCTTCAATAGTGCTATGATGCCACTTTGGCTATGCCCATCTTCACAATCAGTCTTCCACACTGACTCTTTGACCACATCTTCCTACCAATGTTTGCACTACATAATGCATGGAGCTGTTTAAAATGTCTTCCTTTTATGCTGCAGTTGTGCAGTTTAAGCATAAACACTTTGCTGGCATAATTGCAGCAAGCTGCCATTGCCTGTGGTAGCACAATTGTATAATGATGGCAAAACAAATGTAAATAATACAATAAAACTCAAGGGACAAAGTAAAGCAATACAATTGCATCCTGCTTGGGGACAGGAAGACAATAACCACATGCACTTACATGGCATGACTGCTGGATTATCAGAACTGCAGTGGAATGAAATGATTGTACCAGAAAAAATAGTTGAACAGCAGAGAAACTGGGGCCATTGACAGGCTTTTCCTGACACTGAAAAAATGTGATCCAAAGTGATGGAAACGTAATGCAACAATGAAAGTCATGACATTGTGTGATAAGGAAAGGTTGGATATGAAGTTAACCCAGTGCAATTGTATAACAAATCTATTATGTGATGAAGTCATCAGCCACAAGGAATAGGAACAATCTCATAGTCTTAGGAACAATCTCAATATTGTCCTTAAAGAGGCTGACAAGGGAGACATTGTAGTCTTCATGGACAACTCTGACTATATAGGTTGAGAGGCAACTAACACTACGTTTTATAGGATCCTACTTAACACCCCACAGATGATCACCAGAAAGGAATACAGACTAGTCATGGAGATGCAGAACAAAATTTGAAGTGACACATCTTAGGAGTCTTGCTCAATAATATTTTATCTATTACCCCAAATCCACATGTAGAACCCCCTTCCAAGGGAAGCTCACTTGAGCCATTCCTTCATGTCCTTCAGCCACAAAATAAGAAGCATTTAGACAGTATTTAGATGACTGAATGGCTGCTGAAATTGAACTATCAAAAGAAAATGTTATGCTCTCTCCTCTATTCTTTCCTCTCACATCCATTTGTAAGTTTCTTTTAAGCCAATTATTGGTTTAACACGATAACTAGTATTTTGATTTTATAATGTGTTTTAGGGTGTTGTTTGATACACTGCATTTTAGACTGCATATCCATTTTCAATATCAACTTCTGCATTCTTTTGGAAAATCCAGGGAGAAAGGCAGGAGAAGGAAGGAAGGAAGGAAGGAAGGAAGGAAGGAAGGAAGGAAGGAAGGAAGGAAGGAAGGAAGGAAGGAAGGAAGGGAGAAAGGAAGGAAGGAAGGAAGGAAGGAAGGAAGACAGAAGGTTACTTATCAAAACATGAAAATGAGCAATTATTCTAGGTTACCACCTGACATCAATTCCATATATTTGCTCATTAAATATAT